AAAAAATAGTTGCTGGTAAAAATTAAAAAGAAGATAATGATAGATAATAAAAATATTAATAATAGAAACTCTTGCCTGGATTCGATTTTGCGACTTTTGAGTCTCCTGTTTAATTTTTAAAAAATTCCATCACACGAAGGTTTTCTTTTATACTACTTCTCTCTGACTAAGTTTTACTGCTAGTGTAAGCAGTTATAAGTAAGAAAGGATACACTTATAATTAGCTACTATCAGATAGAATGAGTTGCATGATGTAATAGACTTGGGTTTACCTGCGCCGCAGTTGTTAACAACATGCTGATATAGGTTGTACCATCATGTTGCCAAAAGCGAGATTGATCAAGTCAAGTTCTTGTCGAAGTACACTGATTCTTAGTTTATTTCATGATGTTATTTTAGCTAAGTGGTCCTCCAAAAATCCTGGTACATACTTTCTCGTAGCCAGACATTAAAACATTTAACTAAGTGATACATATGGACTCAGGAAGCAATTCGATCATGTGATCAGATATCTAATCATATCCAGATGAACTTTTGGTTCTTCAAATTTTTGCTGAATTTCATTATTTTTGGTATTGTAGTTGTACTGATACTGGTGAAGACCGACTTGGATAGGACATCCAGAATTATATTATATTATATTTATTTATTAGTTTGCGATCATGTTGGTTATTTTGATCTATACTAGGGCTTTTCGCTTGTTCTTTTTAATAGTTGTATAGCAAAGTTGTTATGCCTTGCTAGTCAAATAGAATTGTGCAATCCGTTGTCGATTTCGACACAAGCAACGCTTGCGATTTATAAATCTTCGATAGATGCAACCCAAAGACTTTTCAATTTCTGCCGTGTGAATCTTGGATGGTGGGTGGGAAAAGTGTTCCATCGTTCTGAATTGTATTTATTTACCTGATTTTTCTAGTTGTATATTCATCATTCTTAGTGTGAGTATGGTTCTTTCAAATCACATTCCTTGATTTTTTTCTTCTCTATATAATATACATATTCGTAACTCCGCGAATTTCTTTCAACATGTCAGCACTCTTAGACGGTACCGAATCGTGCTATGTGCTCTTGTTTTCCCACTTTATCACTGATTTCTTTAATGCAGCGAGAAAATCTGTAAAGTTTAATTATCAATTTTCAGTGGGTGTGAATGAAAAAAGACATCCCCACCCACACCCACACCCTTAATTTTAACTTTCTGAATAAAAAAGGAGCTTCTCTTTTTTGTCAGTGTCTTGACCTTTCATTCTTATAGAATTTATCTGATAATCTGATGAGGGAATATATACAATTGTCAAATCCCATTGAAGCCCATCTTTTGGCTATAAGTAGGATTCAGAGAAACTAAAGAAATTCTAGAAGTGTTCATGTCTAGAGCATTCCTGAACGAAAATCAGATTATTGCATATATGTAAAGAAATGAGGTTTTCTTTATTTTTTCCTCAGCTTTTTTTCTTTCTAAGAAGTTAAGATCTAAAGTTTTTAGCATAGAATGTTCATTTGATACGTAAAATGAAATCATATTCACTGAAAAAGTTTGGATCAATGTCGAAGTAATTTTCATTCAAGTCTTGCTGCTATATTTTAATTCAGGAAAGAAAAAATTAGTACAGAATATGTTTTTCTCTTTGTTTGAGAACCACATGAGCGTCAACTGTAGTATATATCGTACTAACCATTATAATCTCGAATGAGTGTTGTTTCAAGATCGATTGGCTCCTTTTAACTGAATATGACTTAACTACATGTATCGAATAAAAACTCTATGTTAAAAAATTTCAGATTCTAGTCACTCAGAGTGAAGAAAAAAAACTGAGGGAAAAATTGTAAAAAGTTTCTTACATCGATATGGTAAGCAGGTCTGTGTCGAGGCATGCCATGGGCACGAACACGTTTAGAATTTCCTTAGTCTCACTGAATCTTCCTCAAAGCCACAACATGAGCTTAAATGCCATTTGTAAATCGAATATGTTTCCTTGTGAGACATAAATTATGTGTGATTTTATCTATTCTTGTATTTGGCTTCAAATCCTTCAAGAAGCGTTCTTTTCTCGGAACGAGAGGATGTCCTATATATTTCCTACATTTTTAGTGAAATCCCATAAAAATGTTGTTATTAAAATCCTATATATTCCTATATAGCCGCAGAAGACCGCTACGAAGCCTGATAATCTCCTATCTTCATTAAAAAAACTTGTTTATAACGAAATAATGAAGTTTTACATGGTAGAAAATACTAGTTTTTCTTATTTACCAAAAACCAACAAACATTTTATTAACAAAAAATTTTACCACCATAAATATACATCATAATCATTTATATCACGTTTTATTCTCGTTAAATAAATATCGAATAGGTTTTTTGATACAATAAAGTCATTGAGTATATCAAATTGCTGATTAGACATAAATTTAATACATAATGAAAATAAATTCTGTATATTATAATTATCTTTCGAGAATAAAAATGATAAAATTGGTTCAATATTATCATTTGGAATTTGTACTATAAGATATTGTAATCGTGGACATAAATTAATAAAGAATTTTGTTATTTCCAATGTACAGTTTATCAAAATACTCATTTGTTTAATATTATTTCTTTTTGATACTAATTGAAATGTTCGATTATTTTCAATTGAAATTAAATCAGTATATTCATGTGATACTAAATCAATTTGGAATGTATGAATATTAGGTGATAAATATAATAAATCAATTATTTCTACAAAACTATCAAAATCTGTTTCAATAATTAATTTTGTAAGTTGTTTTAATGGAATTATATTATTAAAACTAGTCGAGAGAAAATTTGTATTTTGTTTTTTAAAGAAATGTGATAAAGTAAGTTTAGTTACATTTGGAAAATAATATTTATAATTGATTATATCTTCATGTTCTTCACTTTTAAGATGCTGAACTGAATTTATTTTATGTTTTCGATCAAATGAAGAGTTTTTCATGTCTGGTGAAATATAAATTATGTAAGATTTTCTTCTAGAAATAGAAAAGAAATAAAACATTTAAACATACAAATTTATTATTTGTACCTATATGGATTTATTGAATAAAAGATAAGACAACAAAGATCATCATAGTCATAACAAATTTCATATTCAAAAAACCATCCTCGTTCAAACCAAAATCTAGATTGGAATCGATTGATTAAAGAAATTTTTTCTAAGATATCTTCATTCAAGTCTAAATCATGTTTAATCATAATATCAAAGATTCTTAAATGATGCATATGAGATAATATCAATTGTTTCCATCGATATTCATCTAAATATGTTTCATTGGCAAGTGATGAAATATATAAAACTTCAATTCGATTAAATAAATTTTTTATTATTAATTCAAATTCATCAAAATTCATGTTGCTTAGATTTAACTCAACATGTGTTAAATGATTCAAATGAATTGAATATTCTTTATTGTATTCTTCAGAATATATATTTGAAAGATTAACCGATAAACGACGAAGTTTAGGAACATATGATAAAAGACCATTTAATTCATCAAATCGTAAAACATTTGTAATAATAAGATTTTCAATAGAACTGAATTCATTAGTTGCAATAAGTAATGAAATTAGACTAAATGGTTCATTCAATGATAATTTACAGTATTTTAATACTGGTAAACGAAATATTCGACGATAAATTATGTTTTTATTTTGAACATTATCAATACAATGAATGATTAATGATGATAAAGAAGGTAATGAATGTAAATGAATAAGAAGTTGATTAAGATAATCTGATTTGATATCGTGAAAACTAAGATTTTCAAGTTGAATAAAATTTGATAGAATAGAAATTGATGAGAAAATATGATCGATTATAAATGGATTTGATACATCAAATGATTTAATTCGATGTTGTTTTGACGTGATAATTTCTGTGTAAAAACGTTGAAATATTGATTTTGATATTAATGAAAGTTTTATATTTATCGGTTGGTTTGAATTAATAAAAAGATTTTGAAATCGTTTATTAAGACTTGAAAATGTGTCATAAGTTTGAACAAAGTCCAAGAAATCAAATATTTCATAAATAATTTCATTGGAAAGATATTCAAAACGAGTAATTAATGAATCTCTTTATGAAACAAAAGCAAACAAAAGTTAAATTTTCAAAAAGAGAAAAACTCTACCTTTTCGAACCGACTGCTGTTATTAAAAAAGAAAAAGAAATTATATCTAGTAAATGCAAAAAAAAAATAAATATATGACTCTTACTGTCTCGTTTTAGTTTTATCGGTTCCATATTGAAATTTGACGATTTTGCTGCATGAACTTAAAGTATGCAGAGAGAAAAGGATAGAACAAAGTATAAATGAAATCTGTGTCAATAATTGAACTTGTTGTCTGACCTTTTGCCCGCTAAATATATGTGGTGACCGATGCTACATCAATCGTATCTCTCTTTTTCTTGCTCTTTTATATAAGCATATGTTCGATATCAGATACAATCCATAAGAAAAGTATGGAAAGGTAAAATGGACATTGTGCGAAATTTTCATTGCCATGTAGATAATATTTCAATCGATGATTTCGTTGAAAAAAGAACTAATAGACATATTTTTAAACACATTTCTAATACTAATGGAATGATCAACAAAAAAAAACAAACTGATTCTTCTGAGAAGGGTGGGTGCGTGTGGGTGTTGGACGTGGGTGTGATTCTTTACTTCATCGACACCCACACCTCACCCACACCCTATTTATGTAGGCCATTTGAAATAATAGTGTTACGCACCTGGAAAAATATTTTTACTCGCTCTGTATATTCAACAAATCTCGAATTTTCCTAGAGAAAATCACATAATGGATTATATCCTAATAATCTATTTATATTTGATTTTTATGTATATTAAATATATCTCATAATAGAGTGTATTTGAATAATGATAATTAATGCATAATTTTATTTTCAAAAAAAGAAATAATAATAATAAGATCGAATGAAAAATTAGATAAATAAATGTAAATAAAGTTAAATAATTTGTTGTTCTGAAACAAATCGATGGAGTTGAAATTGAATAGAACATTGAAGTGGTTGAGATAAATTATTTAAATCGGCTTCATTTTCATTAGATTGTTTTTTATCTAAATTAAAATAAAATTTTATATTAATAAAATAAATCCAGAAAAGAAAACCTTTTGATTGATCTTTTGTTTTATCTTGATTTGATTTTGAAGCTGATGAACGTTTTTTATCTTTACTTGGATCATTTTTCTCACCATCTTTTCGTTTACCTGATTTTGTTTGATTAATTGAATCAGTTAATTGTTGTTGTTGTTGTGATTGTTCAATAGGAGACTTATATTGAAAATAAACTTGATAATCTCCATCAAGAAATGGTCGAAGTTCAACATGAAATTCTGCTAATATTGTTTCAATTGGATCTTTAATAGTAACTAATTTACTTAAATCTTCGATTTTCTTTTTTTTCACTGGACTTTCATTTTTCTAAAAAACATCAATTTTATTTTAGATTTATTTTCGATAGAAAAAACGATTTTGAAATACTTTATCTTTACTTGAATTTGCTTTTGTTTTTTGATCATTAGCTTGGTTTAATTGATCAGGAGACCAATATTCAGTCTAAAATTATATATCAATATTGAATTAAAACAAATCTATCAAGAGATATCAAAAATAAACATCGATAACTTAACAGATTTTTTTCTCAATTTCGAATTATTCATTGTTTATTTATTTAATATATAAACTGATTACCTGAATCCTCCGTATGTTCATTTTATAGTTTTTTCCTTAGATGAGATAGAGAATGTTCCATGGAAGGGAATTTGGATCTTCACGGTTAAAATTTCTTAATATCCTCAGTTTGCATAAGGATAATTCTTTCGAAAACGTACCAGACCTTACATCAACTTTCTGAGTTTGTAGAGCTTGTAAATATGAGCATAGCTGAAGATTCAAAAAATATTAAAAGTCTTGCGAAAGGGTCCGAATAGATAATATAACTTAGGGCCTTCCAGCCAAAATTCGATTTCTGGAATATCTCCATTTTAAATGACAGAAAACTGGAACTTTTAGAGTAGATGCTACTCAATGAGATGATCATTTCATTAAGCAGAAACTTTTTTATCCGACGTTTTCTTTGGGTCAAAAATTGACTTTTTTAGATTTTTCGAAGCTAAATTTCTCTGACAAGAAAGAAGATTTAATTAACGATTTTATATAGATTAGAATCATCATTGAAAGTACTATTCAATTATGAGACTTGGGAGAATTTAAAATGAAAGTTGACCATCAAGATAACGAGTCCTAGGGGATCGATTTTCACTTTTGCCTTAACTTGAGGGTAGCCTACTGGAAAAATAAACGATTCCAGTGAGGAGAACTTTGTATATTCATAGTCTACTTACACAGAGCCAACAAAAAAATGATATTTCAACATTGGCCTAACACTTTTAGAATCGACCAATTTTTTTTAATGGTATTTCTGCAGGGATATTTATAGAATTTTCAAACTCATTGGTCAATGAAGAAAACGTGTTTTTGTTATAGCCTATGCCAAGGCAATCTCAATTAGAAGGTTCTCTCCTAGTGAGAATCCATTATTTTTCCAGTAGACTGCCCTCAAGTTAAGACAAAAGTGAACATCGATCCCCTAGGACTCGTTATCTTGATGGTCAACTTTCATTTTAAATTCTCCCAAGTCTCATAATTGAATAGTACTTTCAATGATGATTCAAATCTATATAAAATCGTTAATTAAATCTTCTTTCTTGTCAAAGAAATTTAGCTTCGAAAAATCCAAAAAAGTCAATTTTTGACCCAAAGAAAACGTCGGATAAAAAAGTTTCTGCTTAATGAAATGATCATCTTATTGAGTAGTATCTACTCTAAAAATTCCAGTTTTCTGTCATTTAAAATGGAGATATTGCAGAAATCGAATTTTGACTGGAAGGCCCTAAGTTATATCCCCTATTCGAACCCCTTCGCAAGATTTCTAAAATTTTTTGAATCTTCAGCTATGCTTATATTTACAAGCTCTTCAAACTCAGAAAGTTTCATTCGATTTGAAGAATGTCGATGTGAAGTCTGGTACGTTTTCGAAAGAATTACCCATAAAAAGGGTATCTTCTCGTTTTATCGACACTTTTTTTCTGTAGAATATCATTATTGTAGCAAAGAAGTCTTGATTTTAAAAAAGAAATGAACTAAATGATGTTAACGTTACGAATCATAATCATAAACGATTGTTATGATCGGTAGAATGATTAGTAACGTGCATTTTGATTCGTGGATGCTTCATAATCAGGCAAGTTGTGAAAAACATCAAACCTTTCCGCAAATAAAAAAATTTACGTATCAAAATCAATAAATTCTTGATTGAATGAAACGCTATGAAAACGATTCTTTATTATTCAATAAAATTAGTAAAGCAAGTAGTAGAAAAATCAAAATAATATTCTTCTATTAGAATTTAATAAACTATTGAATTTGTTTTTTCATTTCTGTTGTTACAATCATTTTCTGTAAGATAAGATTTTTTACTCTTGAATAAAATGTCGATGAAACAGAACCAAATCCATAAAAGTTTTTCCTTGAAATAAATCTATTCTTCTTCGGACAAAATAAATTTAAACAATGCAAACGTCATATTTTCCTTATAGTATATTATTATATACTTAGGACCTTATGAAAATTTTAACTGTAGAATCTATGTTTAGGAATGAACTTGTTATATTAATTGGAACTCTTATTATACGCTTCTTTCCAAAATTGCTAGAAACAATATTTCCTCTACAAGTATGATTTATGCGTCTTTTCGTATAATTCAATCTATTTTCGGGGAAAAAAAATTCGAACCAGAGAGGTCAGTCATAAAAAGGTTCTGTCTTCAGATATACATTATTATCCAAACTTTAGATGTTCTATTAAAATTTCTTAAATCATCCTTATACATATAAATATCCAAGAACGATCAATAAAATAAGTGTCATTTTTATACATTTTTCAAAATAATATTAAAAAAAATAAAAGCAGAAAAGAAATAAATAAAATTGGACTCATAGTTATGCAGTGTAACGAAGTATCTATACAAATAAATACTACTAATTTTATGATAACAGTATATCAAGGGAAATATGAAATCTGTATCTTTTAAATTCTTTTTTTGTCCAAGGGAGATTTATATGTTAATAATTACTCTTTTTTAAAGTTAACGTACTTTCTATTTGAATATGAGGCTTAAGCAAATTCTTTTGACTCCTTAAGACATGATATCCTTTCGAAGAGATATTTTGTATCAATCGATCGGTTAAAAAATGACGGTATTTTTATGAAAAGACAAACTTTATGACATAGAAGATGACATTTAGAAAAATCTTGAGTTTAAGAAGATCTGCTGAATATCATATAATTTTTTTTTCATTCGATACTCTGTCAAACTAAATATTTCTTTTTACGTTAACGTCTATATAAGGTGTTCTATATCATAATATTCCTTGGAATAAACATTTTGAATTCTTAAGAGTTAAAATCAAGTTATAATAAATTACCATTTGATGAATAAATTGACATTTTGTACCATGAAAAAGAAAATCTCGAAATGGAATAATATTATTTATTGTTAAATTAAAAGTATTTGGTAATAAATCAATATTTGGTTTATGTTCAGCAAATGAAGATTCAAATTGACTTTTTTTAAATCTTTTAAAATTAGACATTTTATCAAATGGTATATCGATTTCTTTTATATCTTCTTCTTCTTCTTCAAACCAATCAAGACGCATTTTATAACGATGAACTTGCAATGGCCATTCATTCTTAAACAAATATTTATATTCTTTTCTTTTTTTCAAAATATTATTTTTACTTGATTAATAGGTGGTGTCGGAACATTTTCAATAGTTGAAAATGTTATTTGAAAAAGTACATAATCTTTATCTTTTCGATCGATAATTGAATATGCTCGTGATCGAAATCTTTCTTCGGCAGTTATTCTTATATCATCCAGAATAATTAATTTTTCAAGAGAATTAACAACATATATACGATAATCAACTAATAACTAAAATTTAAAAAAAAATTTTTTTCTATTATTAATTTAAATATAAAATAAACCGATAAAGGATTTCCATGTAAATAAAGTATTCGAAGTTTTGATAAATTTTTTAATGATTCAACTGTTTCTTTTAAATTACTTAACATATTATAACTTATATCAAGTAAACATAAATTTGACCTAAATAAATAAAATTGTTTTTGTTTTTTCTTATTTAAATAAATCTTTAAATACCATTTTTCAAGTGAAAATACATCAGATATTTGATTTATTTCATTAAACGAAAGAGTCAGACTTTCTAATTGATTATTTTCTTTTTCAATTCCATTTATTGATGAAAGAAAATTTCCAGATAAATCTAATGACTATTTAAATAAATTAGATTTTTTACTAAAATAAAAAAAAAAAATGAATACTCGAAGTTTTTTTGGTAAATGTGTCCAATTAAATTGATTCGATATTCGAATTTGATTACATGATAAAATTAAATTTTCAATAGATTGAATTTTTTGATTTGATAAATTTTCTAATTTTTCATCAATTAAACGAATTGTTTTTGAATTATTTAATCGACGAGATTTTTTTAATAATTCTTCAAGATTATTAATATTATCTGTTTTAAATTTATCGTTATCATCTAATTGACGAACTAATTCAACATTTTCATATTCATCTAAATGTAATTTATTTATCGATTAGTTTTATTTTTATTTTAAATAAAATACTTTGATATTCATCTGAATAAACATCACTTGAATTCGAAAACATCATTTTATATTAAAATAATTCAAGAGAAAATGAACGACCATTACTCAATTGGTTGTCATGGACAATCGATCGATATAGATGACACTTTAACATTTATTTATCAAAATTAATTACGATAATAATTCATTTTTTTTTTGACAAAATCGAATAAACAAAAATACTAATATGCATTCAAATCTTGCTATAATCAATGATTGATTTTCCCTTTCAGTTAAAGAAATCTTTAAGTTTTTTGCATAAGCCCGTTAATATGCGACATCATTGTAGAAAAATGACTCCGACTCCCTTTCTCGACTCAAAATTTTCACATTTTTTGTGATTAGTATATAGATCTAAACGCCCTCTATACATTGAGCACACTTTGAGAACTGAAAACTCACATCTTATATATATAAAAAAAACTCGAAAAAAATCACAAAATATGCTGAGAAAAAAACCAAAAACGACAAATTTCTTTGCGTTTTCCTCAAAGTCGGTTTTTTCAGCAGAAAAGTTAAGTTTTCCCCCTTTTCTCCCTTCGCACTCCAACCAATCGAGCTCAAATTTTTAGTGTGAATACTTTGAGCAAATTGGGATGTCTTTTTTCTCTCTCTCTAAAATATTCTTCCTAAGGAATTTTACTAGGTACCACAAAATTGGCACTAGAATAAAAAAGTGCATTTTTTGATGGTGTCGTCAGTAATTTGGTTCTCCTGACCCTCAGGAACGATATTTTCCAAAGAAAAAAAAAAGACACACCACAATTTGTTCCTAGTTTTTGCAGAAAAATTTCAGCCCTAAACAATGAAGTATAAGAGTTTGCGGAAGAGGGAACTTCAGGTCATTTTTTGCCCTTGAGTCGCAAATATCTCAGGAAAGGAAGCATTTTCGAATTCTGAATCTATAACAACTTTTGCTCTACTCATCGAGATCTATCGGCCCTGAAAGTTTCAGAAAATTTCACCGAACCGTTCTTGAGAAACCTCGAAAACGGGAGGGGAGGACCCTTAAAGGGATCCTCCTCCTTTCCGGAGTTTTTTGAGATTGGCTCTTCAGAAAATTATGAAACTTTCACAGCTAATATATCTCGACATGTTGAGTAAAAGTTGTCATAGACTAAAAATTCAAAAATGCTTCCTTCTAGGATATATTGAGGTCATAAAGTTTAAAAATCACCCCGTTTCTCAGCTGCTGTATGTGCTACAGAGCTGAAATTTGTTTTACAGATAGTAGACACTGTTTCTTGGGACTACGTTTTATCTCGTTCTATTCGAAAAACAAGTCCAAATACGAGGAGCACCCTAAAAAATGCCTATTTTTTCGGATAGTACTTGTCTTGTGAGACCTAAAAAAGCTCAGTAGTATTATACTTTTCAAAATAAAAAGAAGTAGCTCCCCTAAACTGTCTCTAGTATCTATAAAAAAAATTTTAGCTCGATCGGATGCATCATGCCTGAGTAACGGGAGCAATTCTGTCGATTTTCGCTGAAAAATTGGATTTCTAGAAAAAGCAGTAAAGAAAAAAAATCGTGCTATACCTCTACGGGAATCATTATATTTTGTGATCTTATTTTTAATATAAGGCTATGTTTGAGTTCTCAAAATGTCACTATTAGAGAGAGAGCACATGTAAAACAGAAAAAACAAAAATTGAAGAATTTGAAAATTTTGGGTCCGAAAACGGGGAGTCGCATTAAGGCGATGAATTTTTACGGGAACACTATGTTTTGATCATCAAAAAAGATACATTTGATCAACAAATGTATTAGTGCCAAATGATAAACAGAAACTTACTGTTTATAATTAATAGAAGTTGTATTTCTGGGAGATAAAGTGCTATGTTAAATTAAAATTTACTTAATTAATAACACATAATTAGTTAGTATTAATTTTATCCAATGAGTGAGGGTGTGGGTGTGGGTGGTTGTAGGAATGAGTGAGGAGAATGTTCACGCCCACACCCACACACCTGCACCCACACAGATCCGCACCCACACCCACTCATCCACACCCACCCACACCTCACATCCACCCATCCACCCATCCACCCACACACACACCCCACACTCACCCACCCATACCCCACCTCGACCCACACCATACACCACCTCGACCCACACCATACCCTTCCTTTCGATTCCGTTCCTAAGAAACGGGAACGCGTTTGAAAATTTATTTTCAAGCATTATTCGGTATTGGAAGATGATTAGATAAGCATAATTTTTTTGATCACTATGAAGGCAGTATGCGTTCCCGAGTGCACGAGAACGGGAATCCGCCCAGGTTTTCTGTACCCAGATACGGGAAGGCACTTAAAAATTGGTTTTCACGGGTTCTTGATAAATTGGAGACGTTGGGGCATGCCCTTTCTTTGCATGTGTAAAAAGTCAAGATGTGTTTCCAAGAACGGGAATCCGCTATGGGTTTTCAGAAACGCGAAACTCGAGACAAAATTTCAATTTGTATACCAAAGGATACCAATCTTGGCAGGGTCCCTAGACTAGGGAACGTTCTGGGTTCCGACTTCCTAGGCACGAGAATCCGCTCCTGGTCCCGCGTTTGTAAGTATGAGGATCTATCTAAAAATTCGTTTTTCTGCGTTCCTAGTTATCCTAAGATATTTTAGGACATGCATTCTTTCGAATTTTATGAAATTAGTGCGGATTGGTGTGGGTGTGAGTGGGGTGTGGGTGTGGGTGGGGTGTGGGTGTGGGTGGGGTGTGGGTGTGGGTGTGGGTGGGGTGTGGGTGTGGGTGTAGGTGTGGGTGGGTGTGGATGTGAGTGTGGCTTTGGCTATGAATGTGGTTGTGAATGTAAGTTTTCTCTCCAGTTATACCCACACCCCACACCCACACCCACACCCTCCTTTTAGATTGTGTTTCACAAAGAGAAATCCTTTAAATATATGAGCTCAAAAGCTTAAAATCAGAGTTCTCATTCGAAAAAAGTCAACAAAAAAGCTTTTTCCAAAAAAGTTGTTGCATGTCGTCTCTAACAACTCTGGACCCGAACCATACTCGTAATTCTAACGATATCTTTTAATTTAAGTTTCATAGTCCCTCCAAATTCTGCTACTAATATATTCTAGACATTTTTAAGATAACCATACCGATGATCTTAAAATAATCACGTCATAATTGACTGCTACATTTCGAGTTCGACCGAGAGCAGCCCAATGGGCTCTATTGAGTATTCACGAATTTATCCAAAATTCAATGTAAGGAGGCATCGTGCATGTTTTTTTTTGTTTTGAGAGGAAACAACATACCGAATCTTTTTCTACCTAGTTGATTTTGTGAGCAATGCCATCGGTCTGCATCGTGTTCTTTTTTTTTTTTGAATATTAAAATACTGAAAAAAGTTAGAAACACAAAATAAATGATAACATTAACTCATTCTTTTTCTTTTATCTAGACTATCGTCATATTCATTTAAAAGCTAATAACAATGATCCAATTTATTCAACTCTATTCGTTTATATTGATATTCAAAATGATAATGACAACGATGATGAGAATATTATTCACATACGATTTTAAACTTTATTCTTTTTTTAATTTGTAAAGTACATTTATTTTTTGATCAAGATCTTTATTTATCATAGAATTCAAAATGCTTTATGATTTAATATTGAAGGAAATTAGACAAAAATAGGAGTCGGAGTTTGGACATGTCTTAATATAAAATGTGGTTGTAGCATCTTTTCCAATAAAACCTTGAATTAACACTCAATCGCTCTGATATGAATCAATAAAATTACTAAAATCATGAATAAAACCAGCAGTTAAAATAGGTTCACGACTATCATCTGTTTTTGATACGGTTTGATATTCTTCAAATGAAATAATAGGAAAAACGCGTTCAAAATCGTAAAAACCGCACATTTTAATACGTTACGTACGCATTATGATTCTGAAACGAGTTCTTACGGTGTTTTCTTCGTTTCATATTTTAAACATGTTTTTACATGTTTTATTTCGGAATTAAGTCAATTCTATAAGGTAAAGAGACAACTCAATACTTTATGATGATTTGTGAGCTAGACTATATCGCCTAACTATTTTGACTTTATTCCAATCGTACACCGGTATATGTATTGATATTCGATAGAAATAGAGTTAAAATAGTTAGAAAATATAGTCTTCACTAGCTCTTAAATAATCATGAAGTATTGAGTTGTCTCTTTATCCCATATGATTCATTTATCTTATTATAACAGGAAGTAACTAAGTGTCGGTAAATAACTGACATGTGAGCAAGTTCCATCATATCTTCGCACTCACCTAACAATATTTTATTCGAAGATGTACTTTGGAGATATAAGCTACTGTTATTCTCAACTATTCTCTAGTTATAATTCTATGATCGCAATAAAATCAAAGTAACAACTCATTGGTATCATTGATAGCAAGGGTGGGTGTGGGTGTTTTCTTCTTTACACCCACACTCACACCCCAGGATATTGAATTTCTAAGTCGTTTCTCCCATAAGAAAACTAAAAATATAAAGAAGAATACTGCATCAGGATCTGTATCTGAATGTTCCACACCAAATAAGAAAAAAAAATTGTTTTTGATGGAACGTCATGAAGAATTTTGAATTGTCAAACAAGCTAATGTTCATCCTTGTTTGACGAAATATCTAGTAAAAGTGTGATAATATTGAGCTGAAACTTTTATCATAGCACTTCCATCACATCTCCAACACAGCCCAAATTTTAGTGATTCCTTCAACTCTGTGACTAGATCATATTTTCATGGGAGTCTTAAGATAACTGTCGTCAACTTTTTGCTTCATGAAGACGTATCCACAACTGAAATCCTACGTTTGAGCTCATATTTTGTTGATAAATAGAGCCTATACTTTAGATAAAATTCTAAAAGAATTTGTCTCATTGCTATTTCATTAATTTTTCTAAAAATGACATCTTCGTATTTCCAATGGTGTTGTTTTATTGTTTTAATATCTTAAAACTAAACATTTTCTTGAGTTAAAATTTCTTTTGCAAATTCATCTAATATATG